CGCTTTAACATTTCCGTCTTTGCGAATATTGTACATGTGTAGTGAACTGAATTAAAATTATGATATGTTGGGGTTGTAGGAAGAAGAAGCAAGAAAGAGGGAACAGGAGATGCTACAGAGACTTGCCTCAGTGGAGGAGAGAAAGCGATTGCGAGAAGAAGAAGAAGAGAGGCAGTGGGAACTTGAGGAGCAGCAGAGGGAGGAGGAAGAAGAGAGAATGAGACAAGAAGAGGAAGAAAAGAAGAGAATGATGGAAGAAGAGGACAAAATAAGAGAATTAGAAAGACAAGTATGACATTGACATTATATATTATACAGGGGTTCACTTATATTAAAATTAGCTTAGCTCATTTTGTCAAAAATATCATCTTGAGGCGATTTCTAATATTTTACAGTACAATGATAAATTTAAGACTTTTGATTGAAAAATTTAAGACTTTTTGAAAAATTACCAACACAATGCTTATGTCTGGATCACCACTAATTGTATTCTGTTGATTTTGTCAATTGTTCGTCATTGTGAAAATCATTTGACAAACAACACTACTAAAAACTATGTGCTGTGTTGTGTGTGCTGTATGCGTTATCTTTCTTATACATCATTCTACCATCAAAATATTTGCTGCCAAAACTGCTATATTTCTGCATTTCTCTGTCTATTTTGATCTAAATTGACATATAACATGATAGCGTTTATTAAATCTGTTGTAAGTTTTATAAGACTACTAATAATTATTATAAAAGTCCTCAGTAGGATTCAAGTCCCATGTATTTTGGAAAGCGCCACCTAGAGGTTGATCTTCTATATTGTATTCACCCTACATTTATGCATAGTCCGGTATATTCATAATTAGCGGTGAATTATCAAGGTTTTGAAACCCTTAATTCATCTTCTGCTCAAATCTGTACTATTGCTATCATATTCTTTTCTTTTCATTTGTGATTATTCGATTCTGTTCTATTTTTTTCGTCTCTTTTTCTTTTATTTCCATATATTTCAGACAGTAGATGAGGCTACACAGGTGAGTGACCCCGAAACAATTAAACGCACGGGGCTATAAGGAGTAACTTGGTGTGATGCGATTTACTAATCAATAAACAAGAAGACCAACATTATATTATAAATGTACTCATATTGATTCAATTCATTGTTTCAGGCTGAAGAAGAAGCCATGGCAAGATTGATACGAGAACGTCTTGAAGCTGAAGAAAGAAAACGACTTGCTCTTGAGGCCGCGGAAAAAGAACGAGAAGCGGAAGAAATGAGAAGGTTTGTAGTAAAAATTATGGAGAATGCTAATTATCTTTAATAATAAATTGTTATAACTGCACAACAAGTAATTATTGCAAATTGACATTATCGCATTATTATTTCTAATATTAATCACTGACATAAGTACATCCTTTCTAGCTAATCTGATTATTTTTTCTGTTTCTAATTATAGACAAGAGGAGTTAAGAAGACAAGAAGCTGAGGCAGAAAAGCGTAGATTACGAGAGTTAGAAGAACAGAGAAGAATGGAAGAGGAGAGACAACGATTACTTGAGGCAAGTTTTTATTTGAATTTTTGTTAATTTAAACTGTTAATTATTGTTTATGATTTAAGGAAATTGGCAAAGAGGTCACTATGACACCCTGCCTTACAGACCTCACTGCTACAATATTTTCACTCATAATTTAAATGAAAATTAGCAAAATTATTTTATTTGGATTCTGTCCATCTATTTGTTCAATGCTGTGACTGATTTCATACATTTGTGCTTCATATAATGTATTTTATTTTATTTAGTGAACTGTTCTACATGTCCCTAATTGGTAAGGGAAGACGTCAAAGGATCGATGTTGAATAAAAAACTTATTTGCTTTAGTTTGGGAGTGGGGGGTTCTGACCTCAAAAAGTTTCCATCCTACAAAAACAATTTTATTTTTAATGAAGTCAAAAAAGTCTTGGAGTATTTGTAGTTTGTTTTTTTCTATCCAATCATGGACAAAAATAACAGAAAATGAAAAAAAAAAACGCGTCCAAGACAAGAAAATGGTTTGGTTTGAATGTAAATATGTGCGTCAAATGAGGTCAATTTCAGGGCATGGACCTAAAACCAACTACTATGCTATACTACTGTACGATTATCAATTTGTATTTAATGATGACTGTAGTCTGACGCCGTGATCAATATTCATCAATTAAGTTTCCGTGGGGGGTGGGCGGGGGTTGGGGAAAAAACAAAAGGAATTAAGTTTTTTATCCTACATCGAACTTTTGATGTTGTCCCTTAAATACCAATCATTTCAATTTTCTCAACCAATCAGGTTGTGCCAATTGCACTTAAAGCTGAAACAATACCTAATTAGTTACGTATACATAATTTGCAGGCAGGATATTTTCTTCTCCTTTACTCAGATTTGCCTTTGATAAATTTGATAAAATTTTCTCTTGATTACAGATTCAAAGATTGGAGGAGGAAGCAAGACAGCGGGTTCGAGAGGAGTTGGAAAAACGACGAGCAATACTGCTACGACGTCGTGATTACAACCGTGAACACATGAATCATTTGACAAACGTTCGTAAGACACAAGGTTTGACAAGACCATGGGTGTTTTCATATTACGTACACTGGCCAAGAGCTACGTATGAAAAACCACTCCCATCAGGTGACAAGAAGAAAAAAGGATTTCGAGCACGACCCAAGCCCAAGGCTCCTTAAATTTAATGATTCAACACAAATGAGTGTTGTGGTATCCTGCGGGTGATGTCATCAACATGAAAGGATATGCTGCAAACTCACAGCCTCACTGATGCGTACATGCTACCCATTATACTATGCACGGATCACGGATTGAGATGTTTTGAGTATAATCAGCCGGAAGTACATATTTCCCTGTACATTTCGCAATCAATCAGTAAAAAAATTACACACAAAACATGAAAATATATACATTTTATATTTTATGTTCTGACTTTCTAATCTAAAATGATTAGACAAAAAAACAAATGTTTGTGGACTTCACACAAATAACTTGATAACAAAAATGAAAGAAAAATGTATCTCCCTGTACCATTATTTGTACCATGTTTATTTTGTTCTTACACAATATTATTTATACTGAAATGTTTTTAAAGTGCCAAGGTCTCAACCATTTTAATATTGGGGTGTACACAGTTGACTCAGGTGGACTATATGTGCAAAACATTTTACCCCACACACAATCTGTGCAAGGTTTAATTTTGAGGAATGTAGCCCCTTTTTTATCATCCTTTCCACCCTTGATTTCGAATGGTTGATCCAAACAATGTGCCAACTTTCTGGATAAGGACCAATCCACTATCAGAAAGGGTATGACAGCAATACAGATGTGGCATTAACATAATAAATATTTGAAATATTTTTTTTTTTATTTTCTAGAGGACATTTTCACAGTTTGTGTAGTCTGTAAACTTCCTTCATGATAAAATTCAACCAATACAATTTGCAATTTGACAATCACTTTTATTTTGTATGGCATAACACATTTTGTTATTGTGCAAATTCTTTTTTTTTAGCCATTTAGAATTTTGATGAGTTGATGTAAGTACAATCAATTATATATGCATAATGCAGTTACCATGGAAACCACTAAACTGTTCGTTCATTTGTTGCACAATTGCCAAGTGTCATTTTGTAAAATTTTGAACATTTAAACAAAAAATGAAAAGTCAACGTACCAAAAAAATATGAGCAAGCCACACACTCCTACAGCGTTAAAATTAACCACCAAATTCAAATACGCATTTTCTATAATTTACTTGTTAATTTAGAATCAAATCAACATTATTTCCCATTTCCTACATGTCTTGATTATTTTTTGCAAGATTATGCAAATTTAATTGGTAAAAAGTAACATGAGGGGACTTTGGCATCCTTAGAGATAATCAAGTAGCCATATTTATATATGTTTTGACAATTGCACACACTGCAGTACACTCATTGCCTCAATATGTGAAAATTAGTCCATAACACATTAGCAATATTTATTAGCTATCTGCCATAATTACAATCATGTAACATATACTACCAGCAATATATTGTATTTTATTTCTGTATTTTTATATTGAGATTGTAACAAAAATAAGAATTTTTTCTGTATATTTATGTCATTGGTAAATATTTGTACATTTTCGGGAAAATGATGTCACTTGTCATGATTGTTTGAATATGTGTACATTTTTATTGATAATCAGGACAATTCATTAAAGGCAATGGAATTTTTGTAAATAAAAACGTTCAGTGCTTTTACTAATCACAAGGATATA